CAGACTTTCAGACCCCAGCCCATAGGGGTTTTTGTGTGTTTGTTTCCAATAGAGGGCAGGGTAGGTGTTGGCTGTGGAACTACAAAGTGGTAGAGTGAGGGCAGCAATGAGGTGTTGAGGAAAGGGAGGGTGAAAAGACACAGCACATAAGAGTGCAAAGCAGAGGACAAGGGGTGCTAGGGGATGAGGGGGGAAGTGGGAAGAATTAACAAACAACTCTTGTTCGAAGATGCCGTCGCGAGACGTACTGTGAATGCTGAGGAAATTGTAATGACAAACTACAAACCTTGCATTATCTGAAAACTCTACATTAAGGGGGCACGTGAAGTTGAGTACAGCCAGAATCTGCTAGAATGACATGACACATTACACACCAAGGGTTGGTTTAGTTTGGTTGTAAAGATGATTTTTAATATCTAACCCCTGTGTTTGTTATCCCATCCTCTTTTTCTCCCAGCTTTGCATGCACCCAGTGGCTTCCTATCTTCTGTTCAATTCAGGAGCCTCCATGTGGGTAACTCATGTGTGGTTTGCTACTGTTATCCGCTCTCTTTGGGGCCCAGTTTTTGTTATGTCAATGTATTTCTAGGTAGGAATGACATTAGCATATTAACTAGTCTCCTGCCAGAATGCCTTGCAGAGTGCTTTCCCGTCATTTGTTCCTTCTACAGGAGTCTAGTGCTTGAAGATTTCCTAAGTGTGTTTGAGACACTGTTTCTGATAGAGATTAGCACTGAATAATTATGTCTGGAGGACTTATACCATAGCTTCTCCTCTCTTGTGAGTAATCGCGGTGCATTGCTAAGTTCACGGAGGTCGTGAGACCAGGCGGGCCTGTCGCTGGAGTCCAGTTACCTTGCTGCCTCTGGAGAGATGGCGCAGCACTTGCTGCTCATCCAGAAGATCCATCCGGGTTTGATTTCCTGCACCCACATGGCATCTCACAGCCGTCTGTAACTCCATTTCCAAAGGGTCTGATGCCCCCTTCTGGCCTCTGGGCACCAGTTACGCCCACTGTGCATAAGCATATGTGCTGCCAAAACGCCTACACACATTAGAAGAAATGATGAGGAAAGAAGCAGAGATTCCTTCCTTGTTCTGTGCCTCAGCTTTGCCTTTGTCACATGCAAAGATGGCTGCCATTACAAATAACACCAATCTCTCCTCCCTCCGTTGCTCTGACTAATCTGCCCGGAAACACATACATCTAGCTGTTGAAAGTTATCAATGTGGAATGCAACTTCCAAGTAGCCAGATTATTATTTGATTATTATATTTTATATTATATTATTATATATTATGTTTAGGTTATATTATTTAGTTCCGGCTTATCCTTATTTATTTCTTCCTATTCTGTCTCTAGACTATTCTCAGAGAGCTACGCCACCTCCTCTTGCCTGCGGGCAGGCACTGTCCACTGTTGTTCTGACAATAGTAGCTGTTCAAACTTCATTATAAAGACAGCCTTGGCCTTTTAACGTCCAGTGCTATAGGTGTGAAAATAACTTATATCTCTCCTCAGGATACCTAACATCTACTACTTAATGCCTACATTGGTCCATTATAGGCCTTTCTGAAATATCATATTATGAAGTCATGCATTACCTGTAGGCCAAAGCAATTTTACTTAAAAAAAAAATCTTGATTAATTTTGAACATAATCAGCCAGTATGTCAGACGATTTCACTGTTTCTGATCGATGCTGACAGGTAAGGAAATTAAAATCAGGAAGGGAAGCAATTAAAAACTGACAAACATTACCTTAATGAGACAACCAGATCATTTATAAGCTATGGAATATGTGGTATTCTTGATAAGATCTTTTAATGGTGGTCAAGACTGTGTAGTTACAAATCATTCGGGGTTTGGTGGTCAGAGCTGGGGCCGCCCATTGTCATCATCTAATGTGTTTCCCTAATCCAGCATTCAGTTACTTCTGGGGACAGAATTCCACATTTAACATCATAACATCATTTGCTTTAAATAAGTCTTATTATAAGTAACTTTTTTGCCATTTGAAATTTATGAAGGTTAAAAAAATGTAGATGAAATAATTTTTGGTCTTCTCTAAGTGGTTCATAGGCAGTCTTATTGCAGACTTCTGAAAAGAGAAACTTAAAAATGTAGCTTTCCATGCAAGCCCCAGCCACTAGCCTGTGGAACTAACTACGTAGGCCCCCGTAATCAGGCCTCTACTCTTAGGCTTCTCTGGTTAGCTTCGTTCTCTGTTTAGAGATGTCTGGGCAGTGGGCTAAATTGATATCAGCAGGATTGCTTTTCCTACAAAGCTTTGTCTCATTGCTCATTTGTTATGTCAGACTTTTTGGTCATAATTTTTTTCTACATCATCACATTAGGGGTTTAACTTTTTTTTTTTTTTCCTTGATTGAAGTGATAGATTCGAACCATAGTTTGCAAAAAGCTCATTGAAATGGTTTTTGTTGTACATTGTGGTCTGTGTGCCCCCCTCAAACGTAGTCTTATTGTCAGTCATTCTACTTGTCTTTCTCTACTTTTTCCACCATAGATTTTTACATTTCTGTTTGGATTTATCTAGATTAAAACAAATTCTAAGTATGCGATTTTTAATTTCATTTAGATCCTGAGACTTGCTTTGCATAAATTCCAATTAATAGGTTTAGAATCTCCAAGTTTGAGCTTGAGTATATAGATTGTTTTGGGCTGAACTTGCTTCTGGAGGTGAGAACATTCTTCTCGGGAGAGGGAGGTAGTTTGGTAGATCTGTTAGAGGTTTGGGGTCCATATATCTGAAATCCACAGAAGTAGCCAACCTTATCTGGCTTCATTGCCAAAGTCCGTCATGGGATTTCCTGATTGTCCTGTCTCCATACAAATCAAGAGGAGTTTTACTGCCTTCTGAAGTGCCTGGGAGCTGCAGAGGACACCCAAACTACCTGCGCAGGCTGGTGAGCTGAATAGCGAAGGCTTCAGTTTCCCCCCTACCCATGAGGAGTGTTTTCGGTGAAAGTCTGTGGGAAAGCCACTGCTGCAGATTCTTGTTTAGGGGCTTGTGTGTCAACACTTTGCCTAAGGACCCTGGCATGGGGGAAAACTCACTGGGGAGACCCAAGCAAGTGTCCATGGTAATCCAGCACCTAACACTGCCTGGCTTAGTCATGTGTCCCCTTCTGCTGAGACCACAGATAAGGTCTAATCCTAAAGTAAAGCGTGTTTTGGGGTTAATTTTTAAATTTATATATACTCTTTGTACAACCGGCTGGGTTTCATCATGAACTTTATGCAGTTCATACAATGTACCTTAATCATATTCATTCGTATTTCATCCACTCCTGGTCCCCCCTTTTCTCTCCTATCACCCACCCCAACAAGCTCTTTTTAACTTGTCTGTTTGTCTTGTCTCCCTGTCTCCTTCCCTTCACTCCTTCCTTTCTCCTCCCTCCCTCCTCCCCTCATTTCCTTCCTAAAATCTCTACTCTTCATTCTGCATATGAGAGAAAACAGGAGATTATTTTTGTGAGTTTTGCATTCTTTGCTTAATTGCAATTTCTGATTTACATACTTGTTTTCCAATTCCTGAAGTTAAGTCACTCTAATCATGAGGTATCTCACCTCACAGAAGAGGCAACTGCTTGGTATGAGGGTTTAAGGTTAAATTTTCATCTGCTCTGTGTTAGTTCTGTGCGACCTCTGAAGTTTGGTTGCCAGATTTGTAAAATCGAAGCAGTAACGACACACTGAGCCTATAATGAAGATGATTTAGGATGTAATGAGCATCCTCTATTTTCTAGACTACAAAATGAAGTGCAATGTTAAAGGATGGTTAAGGTTTTGATTTAGGGGGGTAGAAGATGAGTTTTTGGCATGACATCTTATCAACCATGTTTTCCTATTGCATTTTGAATGCTTTATGAAAACTGGACATTTTAGTGAACCACTTTTCAATCCACTTATGTAAACTATCAGGCAGGTTCTTCGTGTTCCAAAGTTCTGTCAGCAACTTCGTCGCCCTGAGCCTAAGGCAGTGCTGTTGGCATTGACTTGAAATGGCTGCAAGCTGGGAGCAGCCCCGCCAGCTAAAGCTCTGCCTTTAATTTTGTGGGTTTGAGAGGACACTTGTTTTCCTAATGTTATTTTTATTTTTGTTACCATGTGTGTGCGTGTATGCTCACTTACATATGTTTGTGTGTGTGTGTTGAGGCCACTTAAGAGTGACATAGGTAATCTCACTATGTTTTGAAACTAGGGCCACAAATCACAGAAATATCCATCTCAGAATATGCTCTAGTAGTGTGTGTTTCCCTCATGTAAGGAAATGTTAGCGTTTTGTACATGATGACTGTGGATATGGAGGACAATCTTCCTGCCCCATTAGGGGTTTAGCTGGGGAGTTTTTGACTAGGTCATGTAGATAATCTTTATCCTCATATGAGGAAGGCGATGGAGAACTTTAATAATTTGTCCAAGGTCAGTGGTAAGAGGAAGAGAGTTAAAGTAGCTCTAAATGCCTTATGTTCTTCCTAGTCCTCAGGCAGGCAGGTTGCTGGTTTGATGTAAATGTCCTCCGCTAACAAGACTTATCAGTCAGGTGAGTGAGTAGTTTGTGTTCCTCATCCTCTTGACCAAGAGAAACTGGAGTAGAAAATGTAGATCACTAGGCCAGTGGCAAAGCCCCTGCTTCTCAATATTGTTCCTCCATATATTACACTGTGTTATCTATTCTTGGGCAAGTCATCATAACACAACAATAAGCATTTTTTCATGCTATGTTTGTGAAATTCACATGAGTTAATTGGTCTTATCTTTTTTGTCCTTCTGTGAATGTCCAGCTCCCTCCTATATGAGTGGAATAATCTCTTTCTATTTCTTTATCAGGTTCATGTGGGGTGAAATGAGATAATGAATGTGGAAATGTTTTGCAAAATAAACTGCTAGATAGCTATAAGGTTGTTATTACTGATGGATAAAAGTAGGCTTGGTGCCCAGTGCCCACAAGTGACTTCTACCTGCTTAATTTACAGGGACTAGCCTATCATCTGGCTGAGCCTGAATCCAGTGTCCATTCCAAACCCAAAAGCTGCCAGAGGTAAGAGAAGATTGGAGTCTTCAGAATTACATAATGCTAATAGGCATCCATGCCTTTGATGCTTAATTTGATTCCCAATGGAAAAATCACAAAGGTACTTTATGGTCAAGAGAATCATGAGAAAGATCTAAGATAGTAACCTGGCGTCTCTTTATGCCTTCGTGATTTAACTTTTCCTTTCAGTTTCTAGGCTTTTAGTACCTAAAATGAAAAAATCTGGACAATATGGAAAACTGACCTTTAATGGGCATTTGAGAATCTGCAGTGGTGTTATGCAGTACGGATAGTCTTTTCCACTGATTCATCATCCCATTGGCTAGAGTATGGGCAGGCAGGCGTTCAACCTTGTTTCCTCAGCATTCCTTCTTTGAGTATAATTTTTACTATAGCATACTGCCAGAATTGTTTGACTCCGAATGAGCCAAAGAATACTTCTCTGGGTCAGTTATTGTGTCTTACCTGCCTGATAAATTGTCTAGCCCTGTACTACAGATTGTAAAATTGCAATGAGAGAAGAACACCGGCAGTGAGTTCGTTTTTTCACAACTTCATGCCTCTCTGTTAATGGATCATTGCAAAGGACAGAGCGATCATTGCAGAGAACCTCATTATGAGATAACCAAGTACTGAGAAAATGGAGGGTGAGAGAAGAGCAAAGGAACATCTTTAGTTCCGCTCATCTTTTTTCCTTTATAGACAGCCTGCTGATGGTCGTATCTCCCAGTGCTGCTGCTGTGTTCAGTATGATCTTTTCGGCTTCTTTACCAGGAGGTGAAGTTGTCAATAGGCTGTTTCTAACTCGAGGGCTTGGAGTATAAAGCTGTCTAAGATTGGGAGTCATCATTTAGAATGCTATAAACATTTATTCCTTAGAACATTTTGTTAATAACTTTGGTGTACTATTTCGGTGATGATGAATTGCAAATATGACTTCGCACGGTTCTTTAAAAAAACTGAAATTGGTTGGTACTGCCCCATAATCACAGGAGTTACCAATTTAGAATCAAATGGAAATTATGGTTTTAGGCTAATATGATTTTCAAAGCTAATATTTATCAAATATACTAATTATGAAACAGGTGGGTGATATGAATTGAGAAACTTCTAGAATCAACTCCATTGTGAGTCTAGTTGGCTTTTTTGTAGTCCTGCAAAAGAAAATGTTACAAAGAGACGTTTGTTCAAAAAAGAAATGCAAGAATATTTTTCTTTTAGTCTTACTGTGTTATACAAAATGTCTCCACAAACTCTTGTTCCTAACAAAATTTTCACACCAAATATATCAAAAGAAAACTTCCTGAATTCATTTCTTGCTATAGTTTTTGATAGCCCCTGTGACATATACTTCCAAGTTAGAAAGGAAGAGAGTAAACTTTCCTCTATTCTCTGACATTGATAGAGGTCTAACTTTCAGGGGATCTGGCCAATGTACCCAGAATCAACACCCTAACAAAGAGGCAGATTCCTTTTCTGTCCTTTGACTAATCCAGGGTGAATCATCAGATCAGTTAGGACAAGTCAGAATGCCAAACCCAGAGATAATTTAAAAAGCGAATCTACCTAAAATCTCTACATCAGAGATCCTTTCACCCAACTGCAGTTATCACTGTTTATTCCCTTTGTTTTTCATTTACTGAATGCCAATAGAATAAGCTTTGGGGATTGTTCTGTTAGCTGCATTCACTTCCCCCACTGAAATTTATCTCAAGACGAAAAAAGATATTTTAGTTAAACCTTGAAAAGTTACAAAGATTACTCTTTAAAAGATACTCTTTAAAATAAGAAATATCATCTACCTACCTACCTAAAACTCTCTCTACCTACCCAGCTATTTACCTACCTACCTACCTACCTACCTACCTACCTACCTACCTACCTACCTATCTACCTACCTATTTACCTACCTACATATATACCTACCCATCTATTTAGCTACCCACCTATCACCCCTCTCCTTTTTTTCTCTCTCTCTTTCTCATCTATGCATCAATTGTCAGTCATTTATATACAGTCTGGCAGTCATCTATCTATCCAGCAATGTATTCCTCATCTTTTTGAATTATAAGCTGGTGGGGACTGAGGGATAGAATGGTCTCAACGTTTGGGTGATAGAGAACTAAATATTCTGGGAGCATTATGTACACATGTAAAACAGTCTTGTGGTAAAAATGGGTATTAGTGGGAATAATAAAGAATAACAGTTTAATTCCATAATTAGACTCCACAGTATACATGTCAGCAGATATCAGTGAGTGTAATCATTGTTTTTGCTCTGCTTTTGATGTTGATCCACCAACTGTGGTGTGTTCCTTGTCCTGTTTCCAAACCAAATCTATTTAAAGCTGCACTTCATGGGATTTGAAATCCAACACCCTGTTTGCTCTTAAAGAACATGAGGTATCATTTCCAAATAGCTGGTCTCTGTACTAGAACAAGAGCTGACTTCTGGCCTCTCAAAGACCATTGGCTGTCTCCATTTTCTACATGGTGACTCAGTAGAGGAATAATACAAAATTAATTCTCATGGACTTATTTTATATTGCCCATATGAAATGGTAATTTTCATTTATTTTGGGAAATTGGCTTGTTCTGCCTTGAATAAAATTAATCAGCCACTGTTTTTTGTTTTTGTTTTTTTCTTGACATGGAGGTAGAAACAGTAATCATGTGTAAATTTCTTCTTTTTTGTTACCTGGATAGATTGTCATTGCTTTGGGGAGTGAAGAAGTGTGCTCTGTATGTCATGTGGACTGGAACCAATGAGAATGTAACTATCCCAAGTCCTCATGTCAGCTGACAGTGTCACCTGGCTCAGGTCTTCCCTCCTTGTGTCCATCTCAGCATCTGCTCATAGACATAGTGTACCAGTTGATCATTGTTTTTATATCTGTTACACAGCCTAGTCACTAGAATATTATCCTTCTCCCTCTTGACATGTTTCCAAACTCCTGTGACTTCATCACGGGGCCTTGTGTGGAAATTTTGCACTCTGTTTAGCTGTTAATTCTTTGACCCAACAGAGAACAGTTACAAATTGGGTTTTAGAGTATATGCATATCCTGTAATTGGCTAGTGGACTCCTGGCTCTCTCAAGCCCCAACAACGTGCAATTTCAAGTTTGAAAGGAAGGGTGTCAACCTTCCTCTATGCCAGTGTTTCTCAAGCTTCTTAATGCTTTGATCCTTTAATACAGTTCCTCATGTTGTGGTGACCACCCCCCCCAAACCATAAAAGTATTTTCCTTGCTACTTGATAACGATAATTTGGCCACTGTTCTGAATCGTAATGCAAATATTTTTGGAGGTAGAGGTTTGCCACAGAGGACATGACCCACAAGTTGAGAACCACTGTTCTATGTGATAACATTGTTCTCTGCCCTATTAGAGGATCTGGTAAACCTAACCCACTATTAATACCATTAAGTAAAGGCATTTTAAAAATTCTGTTCTTGATTTATTCATTGTGAATCATCAGTCTTATAGGACAAGTCAGAGTGTCAAAACCAGAGGGAATTTTAAGATTCAGTCTACCCAACATTTCTGACTTAAGAGTTGGGAAATTTTGGGATCGTGGAGGGAATCTAATTGGTCTGAGGTGTTGGTGCCAATGCTAGACCAAAACGTCTTTTTTATTTCATACTTGCTTGTTTATCGGCGTGTGCATGTGTGTTGTGTGTGTGATAAATGGGCACACTTGTGCATGCGCCCATGGAAGCCAGAGGTCAGTGTTGAATATCTTTTCCTCTACCTTGATTTTGAGGCAGTGTCTCTCACTGAACCCGGTGTTCAGTGATTGGCTAGACTGGCTGGCTAGAGCTCCAGGGGTCTGTCTGCCTCCTAGGTGCTGCGGTGACAGGCACATGCTGCCACACCCAGGTTTTCAGTGGTTCTGGTGATCAGATCTCCAGTCCTTATGTGTGCACTGCAAGCACTTCCCTCGCCAGGCTGTCTCCATAGCTGTGCAGCACTTGAGATACTGTAGAAGTATATTCCTTTAACTGTCTTTTATTTCCTTAAATACTTCCAATTTTCTTTTCATACAAAATCAACATCAGTGTTAAAAAAAAAAAAAAAAAAGACAAACATAATAGACCTCCAGCACTGTCACTAGTTCCTTGGGGATCTGACACTCTGTATTTTTTAGGAAAGTGTGGATTCCTTGCCATCCTTCCTCTCCAATGTTACCTGGTCTTGCCACTATATTCCTTGTACCTTTTTCTGACCCAGTGAACTATGGGAAGCAGAAGATGATTCTATATGGCTGCTTTCTGAACAATTAGGAACATTAATTAACAGAAGATAGACATGGAATGGTGAATCAAGAGACAGGAGAGTACTGGCCTGCAGAGTGAATCCAGTTCAAGACCTGCTCTCCCAAGCAGCTGGAACTAGCCACCATTGCTCCGAGAGCCTCTCACTTTCTCAGACCCATCTGTCTTATGTCCTAGTGTCCTGGGACTAGGCTGGGGCACCAGGACATAAGCAGCTAGTATTTCCATGTGTTTTCATGCTTGCGAGGAGGAGGCAGTAGTTATCCACCAGATAGAAGGACCTTTAGAGACCCCTCAGTTTAGGCACTTACTATTAACCACACAGTCCTAAGATTTAGAAATTGGAAATTACTCTACTGTCTGTGGTTTAGATGCTTGCTCTAAAAACTGTGTAATGACTTCAGGGACAGCAGGACTTTTCTTGGAGCCTCCAATTCTCTGGTCAGTGAGGTGAGAGTTGGTAGAGGTGCTGTGAAAGATTTCCCAGTTCAGATTTCCTTGAGTTTCCAGTTTGCCTCAGCTCTCTTAGCAAATTTGCAGTCATGCTGTGTGCAAAACACAGAACACCTCTCTTGTTTAATATAAGCACCATTACAACTCGGGTGGGAGGGTAGGAGAGGAAGGGGGGAGAAGCACATGCATCTAGGCAACATTTGAGGAATATACAACCTCAAAGAATGCCAGCTACAAGTTAAGGCTTTATAGATGCTCTGACATCTGTGATAACGAG